TCCCCGCGCGGGGGGCGCCCCCGGGCCTGCAGCCCCCGGCGGGGACGGGCGGCCCCCCGGCGGGCTCGGGGGTTCCCGGTGGGGCCCCTGCCTTTGAGCGCCGGGCTCTCCAGGCCCCGCCCCGCCGCGCCCGCCAGCCCCGCGGGGGCCCCTGGGAGACCGGGCCGCCGCCGACCCCTCCCCCGCTGCCCCCCCAGCCTGGGGAGGGAAAACTGGCGGACCTGCCCTTGGACGTGTCCGTGTCCGGGACGGACCGGCCGTTTCCGCGCGGGCAGCGGGCCTGCGCGTGGGCTTGCCTCGGGCTGTGATCCAGCCTTCCCCGACTGGGTGCCCCCGATGCGTTGGGCGAGCGCTCCGTGCGTGCTGGCTGGGGATTATGGGAGTGGTCATCCAGCGCATCTGGGAGACCCCTGGCCGGAGGAGGCTGCTTTGCACGAAGCGCGGCTCGGGTGGGTGGCCGGGCCCCGTTCGGCTGGGCCTGCTTGTCACGGGGGAATCAGGACGAGAGGCCCCCCCCCGAGCTGCCCCCCCCCAGCGGACGCACGTCCCCTCCCCTCCCCTCCCCACCCCAGAGCTACTGAACCGAGTCGGGAGACGGGGTGCAGCCCCAAAAGCACCCCTGCGCCCCCCTTTCCCTGCCCCAGACACTCCTTCAGGACGCAGCCAGGCATTGCTCGCCGGCGCCACGGCAGCTTGTTTCTGCCACCCTTTTCGTGCCGTGGCACAAGGGCACGGAGGATGCGCAGGGGCGGGCGCCCCTCAGGAGTTAGCTCTATACATAGCAGGCATCCACACCGGAGGCTTGGGGAGGCTGCCCGGCAGCCCCGGGGGAGAGCGCCCTGGGAGGGCCTGGGGAGCGGGATGCCCCGGACGCCTCCCTGACAGGAGCGAGCGAGCGAGCGGCTTTCTAGTCCTCATGGCTGCAAGAGAGAGGCCTGAGGGCAGGCACGGGGCTTGCCTGCTGAGGCCTTGGGGGGGGGGTCCTCTCCGGGCGGCTGGGGGCCGCCTTCGCTGGCATTTCGCATGGGCAGAGGGCGTCCATGCTGGACCAGGCAGAGGGGTCACCTTGGGCTGCGTGGGACCCCCGGGCGGCAGGCCGCGAAGAGGAGGGTGGGCGAAGGCTGCGGGCTGCCCCCTCGGGCGTGGGGATTGCCCTGGTGGGGCACGACGGGGGCAGCTACTCCGGGTTAGGCAGCGCCTTTGGAGATCTTGTCCTTGGGGCAAGGTAGCCCTTCCCCGGACTGTGGAACATGGGTTTTGTGGCTAGTCCTCTGGCATTCGGGTTATTAGAAAGCATTTCTCCCACACCTGCACACGTGCACAGAACTCAAGTTTACAGGCAAGGGGCGGAGTTGGGGCTGATGGCCCTGAGATGCTGGCTGGGGGTGATGGGGGTTGTGATCCCACCCATCTGGAGGGCTTGGGGCAGCTGCAGCGCGGAGTCAGATGTGATGAGGCCGAAGGGTTTTCTCCTTTTGGGAGGCCCAGGTCTCCGTGGGTCTGCAGCCCAGTGGGCCGGAAGCCAGGGGACGCCTGTGGCCGCCCTCTGGGCCACGGCTTGCCCCCGAGGGCTGCCGCCCTGCTGGGCAGGGCTCTGCCAGCTCCGCGGCCCCCGGAGGACCCATCAGGCACGTCAGAGAGACCCGTGGCCCCCGGGGTCTCATCTGCCACGGGCTCCCCGGGGGGCGGGCGTCCCGTCCCGGCTGCCGAGCGGGGCTGGCCAGGCCTCCTGCCCGGCAGCTTCCCCTCCCAGGAGCGCCCGGAGCCCCTGCTCCTCCTCCGCTCGGGTGCAAAATACAGCTCCCTGCCCAGGCAAACCGCTGGGAAATCCTGCCATCATCTCCTCGTTTGCACTTGAGAAGATTTGCGCTCCTTCCTTAATGCACTTTCCCTAACGAGGCAAATGGGATTAGGGATTACGGCCGTCCGGCCGTGGTGGTGTGTTGTGTGGCGCCGGGTGGCGCCGGGCGCATGCGTGGCTGGGTGAGCCGACACGCCTGCTTCCGAGGCAGCCCCTGAGCCCCGATCCCTGCGCAGCGCGGCCCCCCCCACGCCTGCCCTGGGACCGGCCCGGAAGTGGGGCGCACGCTTTGTGCACCCGAGCCGTGCTCCTCGCCCTCCCCTCCCCTCCCTCAACCCCAAATCCATCCCCGCCTTGGGTTTTTCACATCCCGTTGCCAGGGCAACCGCCACCACGGGAGAGAGGCGGGAGAGGGTCCGATTGCCATGGCAACGCCTCCACCTCTGCAGTGGGCCGGGCGCTGGGTGGGCGGCGGGCGCATGCCTCCCCGGCTTGTCCTGCGAAATGGCCGTCCTGGCCCGGGGGCCCCTCGCCGCCATGAGCCCAGGCAGCCCCCTCCCCGGCCCCTTCTCTCTCGGGAGGAGACTCGCCCCTGGAGTCAGCCGGTGGCCAGTGCGCGGGCCGTGGGGGCCATCCGTGTGAAGTGCCTGGGAACGGGGGGCTTCCCGGAGTGCCCGGAATCGGTGGCCGGGCCTGCCAGCTTCGGGGACCCCCACATCTGACACTGGGCTGCGGGAGGGCGGTGGGGGGCAGCGTGGTGTAACAGGCCCATCTTTCGGTGATGCACCCTCCCCTTCCCACTCCCTGGGGGCGATGGGCGCTGTGGTGCAGCAGGGACTGGGGCAGCTGGGTTACAGCAGCCAAGGCCTCTTGGGCAGGGTGGGCTTGGACGACCTGCGAGAGGGGAGGGGCGCTGGGCCTGGGGCTGCCGTCCTCGCGGCGAGGGGGGAGGGCGGCCTGCTTGGCCGGGGGTCCCTCTGCAGGCGCGGGACGGAGACGCGACCCGGGCACCACGCCCGGGGGTCTTGCTGCTGGCTCCATCCCCTGCCTCCTTGGACAGGCGCTTCTGGGCGACGCGAGAGTCGCCGCCCGGGTCAGAACAGCTTCCTCTGGGAACGGGGCGGCTCCGGTCCCCACGCTCACGCCGCCCCTTGCGGGACACAGGCGGGGGCCTCTGCTGCGTCAGGCCCCGGCGCGGCCCCCTTTTGGGCAGCGTCCTCAGGGCTGGCTCCCCGGCATTTCCAGCACGGCCTGCCTGCGGATCGGGCCCACCGCTGCGCCGCCCCTGCTCCTTCCCCTCAGCCTCTCCTTTGGGCTTCCCCGCGCTTGACGCCGGGACAGCAGAACCCTTCGTGGAAGCGACGTGTGGGGGGCCGCCATGGCTCTCGGCCCCCCCCCCCGTTTTTCGCCCCCGTTGGCAGAGGCCTTGGCTGCTCGCTTTGGCGGACGGACCGATTGCCGGGTCCGGACTCCCCGGGGCAGCGCAGGCCGCAAGCGCCGTCAGCACGCCTCTGAGCGACTGGGGGAGCTAAAAGCCGTGGAGAGCGATCGGGGGTCCCTGCAGCGAAGGAGAACGGGGGCGAAGCGCCGTGCGAGGCCGAACGGGGAGCCCGGGCTCGGCGAGAGGCGGCCACGTGGGCTGGACCGTTTTCCAGAGGGAGTCTGCCCAGTGCTGCTGTTTCCCACGGAAAAGTCTGCCAGGGGAGGCGGAAGCTCTTTTTAGGATGGCGCCTGGCGAGCTGGGCCTTTGCTGCGCTTGCTGCCTGCCTGGAGCCCCCGCTGGCCTGCCCCTCCGCGTCGCCCTCTTGCCCCTCGTGGGGGCAGTCCCAGGGCTCTGGGCTGAGGGGGGCATGGGCCGGGGCCGCCCAGGCCGGCTCCTGGACGGGGGCAGCGTGTGCTGGGGCTCCCGAGGGGCAGGGGAGCGGGCGCCCCCTGCAGGACGCCACGTAGGGGTCGCCCGCGAGGTGAGCGTGCAGGAGCCTTCCAGACGATGGGGCTGTCTGTCCGTGCCTGAGCGGAAGAGCAGCTTCGGAAGCGCGCCCTTCCTCGGACGGGGAAGCTGGGAGAGGGACTTGCCTCGCGACTTGCCTGCTTGCCCGGGGCAGGCGCGAGCCTGACGGACGTTCCCTTTGCCGCCCCAAAGCAGGATTGCAGGCGAGTGAGGGGCTGCGGGCCGAGCCCCCTGCGCCAGGATCCGCCATGAGCGAGTTGGACCAGCTGCGGCAGGAGGCGGAGCAGCTCCGGAACCAGATCAGGGTGCGTGGCGGTGGCGGCTGGCGTGGGGAGGGGGCGCCCGCGTGGGGCAGAGGGCTCGGCCGCGGGGGGTGCGGGAGCAGGGCCGGCTGCGTGGGGGAATGGCGGCTGCGCAGCCGGGAGCCGCGGGAGCCTCTCATGCCCGCCCTGTCCCCACAGGATGCGCGGAAGGCGTGTGGCGACTCCACGCTGACCCAGGTGAGAGGGGGCCTGGGGCCGCAGGGGGCCCTGCGGGGGCCCGCCGTCCGCTGGTGGCGCAGGCCGCGGGGCCCCTAACCTCTCCCTCTTCCGCTCCTCCGACCAAGATCACGGCCGGCCTCGACCCAGTGGGCCGGATTCAGATGAGGACGAGGCGCACCTTGCGGGGTCACCTGGCAAAGATCTACGCCATGCACTGGGGGACAGACTCCAGGTGAGGGGGCGGGGTGGAGCGGGGCAGCGGGGCTGCTGCCCCAGTGGGGGCTGGGCAGCGCGGACGCCTCCGCGCCTCCCACTCCCCGCCCCGCGGCCGGACCCCTGCAGCACCCCTCTCGCCTCTGCCCCCAGGCTGCTGGTGAGCGCCTCTCAAGACGGGAAGCTGATCATCTGGGACAGCTACACCACGAACAAGGTGGGTCCGCGGGCGCAGCCGGGGGGCCGCACCGGCCGTGGGGCGGGAGGCCGGCCCTGATGGGCGCTCTCGTCCCCCGCAGGTCCACGCCATCCCCCTGCGGTCCTCGTGGGTCATGACCTGTGCCTACGCCCCCTCCGGGAACTACGTGGCCTGTGGCGGCCTGGACAACATCTGCTCCATCTACAGCCTGAAGACCCGCGAGGGGAACGTGCGGGTCAGCCGGGAGCTGCCGGGCCACACGGGTGAGCAGCTGCGCACGGAGTGGGGGGGGGCCCCCTCCCCACGCCCTTCCCGGGGGGGCCCCGCAGGCTCTGCACTGATGAGCCCCCTCTTCCTTCAAGGGTACCTCTCCTGCTGCCGGTTCCTCAACGACAACCAGATCATCACCAGCTCCGGGGACACGACCTGGTCAGTGCGGGCCAGGGAAGGGTGTGCGGCGCCGGAGCCATGCGGGGAGGACGGGCGAGCACGGGGCATGTGCTGGCCGCGGCCGGGTGGTGCCCGGTCACGAGACGGGCTCCCGGCCAGGGTGGCGGTCTGCCCTCTCCCCCGCGCCAGCGCCTGCTGCCATGGGCTCGGGCGCAAGGGCTGCCCTGCTGCTTGTGGCTCGAGGGCTTCCTGCTGTGCCCCCATGCAGAGGGGCTACGCCAGGGCCGCCCGGCCCACTCCACCTGCTTGTGCTTGAGCATGTGCAGAGGCCACGGAGGGGCCGCCTCGGCAGCCAAGCGCCCAGCCTCGGACTGGAGCGGCGGCTCAGTCGACGAGCAGCCCAGAGTTAAAGCTAGTGGGCGGAAGGATGCGTTAGCCCCTGTGGAAGCACTTCCCCACGAGGAGGGCCACGTCCCGCAGGCACCCCTCCACCCCAGACCATGAGGTGCAGACGCCTCCTTAGCCAGCGGGACGCAGGCCCCGTCGCTCCCGCTTCCGGGTTGGGCCCCCCCCCGGAGGGGCACCTGGGGCTGGTGGCGCCCCTGTTCCCCTTGGCTCCGGGGCCCCGAGAGGAGGCCGCCCCAACAGCCGTGCTCCCCCCCCGCAGCGCCCTCTGGGACATTGAGACCGGGCAGCAGGCCACGACCTTCGCGGGCCACAGCGGCGACGTCATGTCCCTCTCGCTGGCCCCCGGCATGCGCACCTTCGTCTCGGGGGCATGCGACGCCTCCATCAAGCTGTGGGACGTCCGCGACAGCATGTGCCGGCAGACCTTCACGGGGCACGAGTCCGACATCAACGCCGTCTGTGTGAGTGCCGGGCCCGGGCGGGCAGCCCCTCACTGCCCCGGGACCCCCCGTGGGGAGCCGCCCCCCTCGAGGGCAGGACGCCTCGCTCGGCCGCGGGGAGCCCACGGCCGGCCCCGCGCGCTCTGGGGAGGGAGGCTGCAGGCGCGTGGGGAGGCGCTGCCGGGGGGCGGGCAGAGGCCGGGGGGGCTGCCCTCACTGGCCCTGACGCCGCCCCTCCCCTCCCCTCCCCTCCCGCCCCCAGTTCTTCCCCAACGGGAACGCCTTCACCACGGGCTCGGACGACGCCACCTGCCGCCTCTTCGACCTGCGCGCCGACCAGGAGCTCCTGATGTACTCGCACGACAACATCATCTGCGGCATCACCTCCGTGGCCTTCTCCCGCAGCGGCCGCCTCCTCCTGGCCGGCTACGACGACTTCAACTGCAACATCTGGGACTCCATGAAGGGTGACCGGGCAGGTGAGCCCCCCCCCCCCCGGCCCCCCCCCGGGCCCCCCCGCCGGGGCAGCTGCTGCCGGTCCGGGCGCGGTGGGGGGCCTGGTCCGGGCGGCGCCAGCGCCCCATGGCTCTGGGGGCCCTCGCGTGCGGCCCTGTGCGTCCCCTGGGGATCCGCGTCCCCTCCGCATCGCCGGCACCCGCGGGTTCCCCTTCCCTCCAGGCCTCTGCGGCTGGTGGGCCGCGGCAGCGGGGCGGCCGGGATGGCACTGGGCCCCCCGTGCACCCAGGCAGCCCGGCCCTTGTGCCCACTCTGGGCAGGGCTATATGTGCAGCTGGCCCACGGTCCCCAGCGGGACAAGCTGGGCCCGCGGCTGCACTGGCTGCCCCCCTCGGGGGTACCTGGTTCCCAGGAGATTGGCTCTGCGGGGGGAGGGGGAAGCCAGTGCCCCGCAGCCTCGGAGCCTCTCCAGCTAGCGGTGCGGCCGTGGGGGAGGCGCTGGCCCCCAGGGACAGACGGCCGGCGTGGGGCAGGAGGTGACCCCTAACCCCCCCGTTTCTCCCCCAGGGGTCCTCGCCGGCCACGACAATCGCGTCAGCTGCCTGGGCGTGACGGACGACGGGATGGCCGTGGCCACGGGCTCGTGGGACAGCTTCTTGAAAGTCTGGAACTGCCCCTGGCGCCTGCTCGGCCTTGGGGGGGGGGGGGGGGTGCGGGGGGGCCCAGCTAGTCTCTGCCCCCGCTTCTAGGGGGCCATGGCCTTGACCCTCTCCCCCTCCCCTGGCTGCCCACCCCCTGACTTTCTTTTTCTGCTCCAAGTAAAGTGTTTGGACCAAGCCCAGCTTTCTGGCTGCAGGATTGGGGGGGCTGGCGGCCGGCTGGCCTCTCGCAGCAGGAGGCAGGGGTTGCTGGACCACACCCCACCAAGGGGGCGGGGGCACGAAGGGGGGCCGGGGAGGGGGGCAGGGAAAGGCGGGGCCTGGCTGGGGCCGTGGGGCCTTTCCCTCCTCCCCACCCCCGGCCAGCCCCCGGCCCTGGAAGTGCTGCGCAGCCTGACGGAAGGGCAGCCTTGAGCAGCGGGGCCGACCCAGCCCCGTGGGGGGACAGGCCGTCCCCACCGCCGGAGGGGCAGGTGCAGCTCTTCTGGGCAGCAGCGTGAGCGCGCTTGCCCCCCCCCCCACGGCCCGGCCCAACACGGTGGGGCACCCGCGCCCGCTGCCTCGCAACCTGCAGCTCGGCTGGGGAGGGCACCGGGCGGCCGAGGCCCCTCCTGCCAGCGGGGCAGGCTGTGTAACCTGTAAACAACCAGAACCAAGTGCTGTGTCTGTGTCTTTCTTGCGGGGGGGGGGGGGGG